ATCCAAAATTAGGGGTGACCTGACTACACCTAATTTCTCCCAACCGGTCGGACAAGACTCCTGGTCGATTCCCTCTCAGACGACCTTTCTACGGGTCAATGTTTCGGTATTAGGGCGACAGACTAGCCTTCCGTCGCCCGACAACGGTCCATGTAGAGGGAGCAATATGATTAGTCATATCGGAGAGGTGAAAATGGTGTCTAAGAATCAATGAGGAGGTGAACGAATCGATAAGGGGGAAGGAGAACCCATGGTTTGTGATGTCGGAGTTCTTAAAGGGCATGATACGAGCAACAAGGGCTGCCATCAAACGACATGGCACGTGCAAAAACTTTCCTTGCTCTCTTGCGGGAGGCGCGTGTTGCAATATCGTGCAAATCACCGATCTAGACGACATGGTCATGAGGATCGGCGGTGCGAGGATGGGAAGCACCGACGGCGAGAATCCTTGTCCGAATTGTCAAAGGCTTCATCCAAAAGCGCCGCCTTAGCTGTGGGAGACCGATAAATGCATACGACTCGCGCACGTCGATGGTATCGAGAGAAAACAACATGCACTCATTTACAACGTCCTCATGCATGTGCTGGAGATGACATAACTCATGGGGCAGGGACAACAACTCACTTACCTCGATCCTTGGTACGATGACTTCTACGACAGAATTGTGGCGGATGTGGAGGTGAAGGAAGGAGAAGGATGGAGGAGGATCGTTGACGACCTCGTGCGGAAAGGGTTTGTGTATGTACACCCCACATGCTGTTTGTGGGAGGAGCTCCACGACGCACAAAAATGTGCAGTCGAACATGCAGAGGAGACACTTGAGCGAGTCAGGAAAACTTCAGCCCTTGATTTAAGATCTTCTATGGCGAGATGAGAATCGGGTTACAGAGATTGTCTCCGGCGTTTGTTCACGGAGGTGGGGGACAGTCCAAGTGCGGACGTAGACACATGTATCAATCAATTCACTAGCATGAACACGTTTCATGACTGAAAGATGCCGTTGGAATACTTGAATCTTCACATCTGGAAAGACATGCAAAGGCCATGGGAGTACAAGGAAGGGAAGGAAACCGAGGGAGAAAAAATGAAGAGAACCACACATGCAAACAGGGTGCAAACAAAGGAGCGGGCACGGGGACAGAAGCGGAAGAAAAGGTTAACAACATGCCTTTTTTTCATGATGCCTAAAGAGGTGAATTCAGGATGCCTATAAAACTCTACAGTGGGAGCTATACGGTGGGGAGGGGTGCTTTCAGGCCTTCAGGGCATTCACCCCTTAAGGATTGTTCGGGATCCTCACGTTTAACAATGAGAGCTATACGGTGGGAGGGGGTGCTTTGAGGCCTTCAGGGCATTCATCCCTTCATGATCGTTCAGGATCCTCAAACTTAACAATGAGACCTGTAGGGTGGGGGGGGGGGTTATTTCAGACCTTCAGGGCATTCACCCGTTCAGGATCGTTCATGATCCTCAAGCTTAACAGTAGGAGTCATAGGGTGGGAAATGGTTCTTTCAAGCCTTCAGGGCATTCATCCCTTCAGGATCATTCACATTGTTCAGGATGTTAAAACGATACAACAGTGGAAACCAGAAGGTGGGGACAGATGCTCCTTTCAGACCTCCGAAGGCATTCATCTTCAGGGCATTCACCCCTTCAGGATCGTTCAGGATCCTCAAGCTTGACAGTGGGAGCCATACGGTCGGGGGGGGTGGTGCTTTCAGGCCTTCAGGACATTCACCCCTTCAGGATCGTTCGGGATCCTCAAGCTTAACAGTGGGAGCCATACGGTGGAGGGGGGGTGCTTTCAGGCCTTAAGGGCATTCACCCCTTCAGGATTGTTCAGGATCCTCAAGCTT